CAGGGCGGATTTTAGGATGTATGGTCCTGCCGTCTAATTACCTTCGTCGATTGAGAAGAAGACGATACGATCATTGGGACAACGCTTTTATTTGCCTGACTTTTCGATATCCGTCGCGGTTGCTTCATCAGAGACATGAGCAGAAAAAAATAGCATAAACAGGTAAAATATGCACTGGAATTTGCAGTATTTATAGGACGCAGTCATTACTGCAAACGTATAACGACAAGTGCCTTCTTGCATGTTCGCTTTCATTACCTTCGTCGATCTCAAAAACTTTTTCGGCACTGTTAACAAGAACGCGATCCGAAGGAGCAGTCGGACATAAGGATGTCGAAAAAAGGTATAGACTGATTGTCCGGCACTTGGACGACTGCATGCAGAGCCTCTTTGTTGATAGCCATTCAACCTCATTTGTTTTACTTGTAATGAATTCGTGCAACAGAAGAGTTTCACACCTGCTCCGGTCTTCATTAATCTGCACTGGTCGCCAAACTGACGGGTGTTTCCTGAATTTCCACATAACATCTGCTTCTACTAACTCCTTTAAGGACTAGACAAAACGATGATCTGTAACCACAGTACACTAATTAACCCTGTCCAACTGTACAATTTTAATTATCCCTGCAAATCTATTGGCCTGACGAAGAGTTGCTGAAAACATGTTTGCCAAATTGACTTTTCAAATTAAAATGGGAGTATTTGCAGAACTTAGAAAATAACCTTATCTTCGTAGCTGCCAAAGAAGCAGACATGTCGTGTAGCCCAGCTGTTTATCAGTCTCGATCTACAATTTTTCAAATAACTATCGACGTGAACAAAACGGTTATTTTTCATCAAAAGATGTCAACGGTGAAAGCTAGATCAACATCAGCCACTGTCAATAACCCCCTACTTGGTAACTGTATCCAAATCGGTTTATTTGTGAAGCACGACTACGAGAAGCCTGATTGCATGCCAAAATGGATGCTAAACTGTTACAGTAGGCAGTCTGGAAGCAATAATAAAACAGCACTGTAAAAACTTCACCCATGGGCCCCGGGCTTGATCAAGGACTCTTGGGGAAATCTTGCGCGGTATCAAGCTGTACGCTGGCGACCCCAGAAACGATGAAATACAGGTGAACTCGGAGTCTCGACAAGATAACACAAGGCGAAGGCAGAGAGAGGTGATAGTTTAAAAATCACGAACCGTAGGAATTAGCTCTGTCCCATTGAGGACGTGCTGGTGCATTGTGTTAGGGTAGTCGGGCCGACCTAATCATCTATCATCTCACTCCCCCATCTCACCCCCAAACCCACCGCGTTCCGATGACATGACTGCGCCAAGACAACTTGAGGTGGACTTAGGTGCAGTTACTAGGAGCGCTAAATAGTCCGCCTAGATGTTCCTTTCATGTTCGGTTCCTTGCTTATATGTTTACCAGACGCCAGTTAAGGGGACCTCTGATTTTATTTGATCCGAGTGCTGTAAAAACCACACCAAAAAGTAGCTAATTTAGTCTGCTGATGCATCTTCGATTCCGGTCGAAGGAGGGAAAATAATTGTTTCTAGACGAGGTTAGTTCTGATGGTGAAAACGACTTAAGTATCACGACTTCTTCCTTGGTGCAGTCAATCTGGGAGAAGGCGTATCCCATTTTAGCCTAACTTAAAATTCCGAATCGCAGCTCCTTTGGAGTTTCACAGTTTTCACCTTGTCATTAAAGCTTTCGGAAGATCTGAGCAAGGGTGGTGTCTAAAGGGGTCATCCTAGGAAGTAGACATTGCAGTCTGGCAAAGAAGGCTCAAATAATCACTTCGCCGTCCTCTTTCCCGACCCTTGGCGTATCGCGATACCTTTAATGCATGTTCGTTTTTTAGAAAAATAATTCAGTATCTGATCCGAGAGGGCATGAGTTCTTTCTCTCTGCATCCAGCACTGCCCCAATCGTGACTACGGAATGATATTGAGCACAATTACTGGCAAGGGCGAAGTAGTTCATGCGCGACAGAAGTGACTAGATTCCTTTTACTGCATGCCTCGTTTCTTGATGAAGGAACTGGAATCTTCGAGAACTGAAGGGGTCATAAAACGTACGTTATGCAGAATTTTCTTTCCTCTGGTCCTCATTTCCAATCAGGACGGATTTGATACCTCAGATAACAGCATTATAATCCACATTCTACAAGATAATGCTAACAACCGTAACCTCTTCTAATAAATCCCCATCACAAGCACACAGTGAGCTACCAGGTTGGTTTTCTTGGTCACCTTCGCACGGAACGTAACTAAAAGCAACGGCAATCTGCACTGGGGTGCCGAAAACGACATTTCGATCATCGTATCTGACGAGGTTCACCATTTGGTACATATCAAGGTCGGACAGTAACGGCGACTGGCACCGGGATTAGTTCTAAGTGATTGTAGACTTGCGCCGCATCTACCGCACTCTCTTTCCCCTCACTCGCCTGTGCCCGGGGTCAAGACAGAGTCAAGAAGGTCAGAATCGGGATTGAGCGCAGGTGATATATGGACAGTAATATAGCCTTGTTAGGTGCTAGGTAGCAGGCAGCTAGCATACAGGCAGCAGCCGCGCTCACAGTAGGCTATCGACCGGCTTACACGCGAGAGAATGCATCGTGCCAGACAATAAATCAATTATTTAAATGTCAAGTTATATTCAATCACTGAGTCACCAGCCAATCGTGCTGGCGCCTACGCCAGGATAGAAGCTGATTGGCTCGACGGACATCGTGTTACACGCGTTTGTTGTCCTAAATATGTTGTACCTATTACACTCAAAGACTTCTGCCGTTGCACTTTTCTTGTCGTGTTCTTCCTTGGAGGACTCCCATTAGGCGTGAGTGGGCAGTGAAATCTCGGCCTTGGCTACCTTACAACAAGCCTGCCGTGCCCTGGATGGGCAGGGACCAGGCATGGGTGGTTATCGCGACGCGGCACGAACCTGCACCTACACGTGCCACCATCCCGCCCCCATATTTGGAATTTGTTGAGGGAAGGCAACCCGAATAACACCTGCTGTGCCATTGTCCAGCCTCGAACATCATCGTTCACTTCTATCATCCCCTTCCCACTTGTACGCAATTTGGTGGAATCGCTTACGATGTATGCATCCGCATTTTTCTGAGAGCTACCTTTTTGTCGAAGACCGTCATATCGTCAAAAGACACTTCTGAGTGCCTCAAACACAAACACCACATGTATCGACAAATTACCATCATCTTATACCTGTGGTTCATATTACTATGGTTGTATTAAGCTTCTGCCTGTATGTAACACATCAAAATAAATCTAATAAAAACTTCAAATGGCGCTCGATGGGTGTGCATTTTTGGCTGGGGTTGGCCGGGCTAAGTCTAATTTATTTGTTGACTAGAGTCAACATCATACCATGACTTTCAGGCTATGGGGATTTAGCAAATCCAACGACGGACGTATTTTAGATAGTCCTTCTAATGTAACACAATACTTGTACTTTTTACGGCTGTGATCATGTCTGAAATAGCCAGCCTCAATGATGTCACTGACGGTACCCCTCCACGCGTGACGACTGGCGGCAGCGGATCTGGAAAGCTCCACCCAGTCTTTTCTCCAGCGATGGAGACCGAAGATAGAAGGTCCAAAAACTGCTTCCATGTCTTAACGGACGTTGTCGAGCCAAGTCTTCAGTTACCCTGCTCTTCGGTGCCTCCAGGTGGGCTTCGGCGCCTGATCGAGGGCAGCATAACAAAGCTCGTGGGGCGGACGACGGAGAACATGCCCATACCACCTCAGTCGCCTTTCTTGTATGGCCCGGGATATCCTCGCGATACGATCACAAATAGTGCGGTCTGTCCCCCTTCGAGATGAAGTCGGTATACTTAACACGCAGTAGACACAACAGGCGTAAGATCTCCGCTGTATATCCTTTCTTTACGATAAATTAAGTGGGGAATCTCTAAAAGGCCTTTTAACTGAATATGAGACAGGTTTAACAAGGACAAGCTGTGATGGTCCCTTCTTAATGTATCTTAAGCAGTAACTCTGACGCAGAGACTTATCAGAGTATACGGGGACTTGTGTGTTCAATAAGAGTGACCAGTTTGTCAGTGACGTCGACCGGGGAGAGCAAACCACTTCACCGGCCACTGCGATTCTGCCCATATCTAGCCGTTTGGAGCTACCCTTGCCACTTAAACATGCTGGGAATGTAAGGCGAGATTTTGCTTGGCACTGCCAAAGTTCTGCTCCACGAATTAGGTTATGTGGAAGCTATCACAGTAGGTAGACCGACATACACAGTGGTACTATTGAAACATATTGTCTGTATCTGCTCTGTGAGTTAAACACTGAAGTACGTTTCATGTCTGTATATGGAAATCAGAGACTAGTCTTGTGTCTGGCCTCGGAATATCGATGTGAGCCAGAAATTCCGCTAAAGGTCGACTTAAGGCTAAGCAGAACATGTATCTATCGTTTCTAATAATTAATCTTATCCTACTGTATCGGGCAGCGTTAAAATGGTCCAGAGGCACAACGACTTAGTACAGTTTTAGTTGTTGCGTAATCCTTTGGAGGTCCAAAACCCCCATCAAGGAGACAATAATACTCAACTGAACATTACATTGAGGCATTTGATGGGCGAATGAAGCATCAGCAACCGCGATTATCCCAGGCTCTGGCTAAAAGCAGATGTGTGCGTCCCTTTTCGTTCTAAAACTATCACCTCGTAAATCTCTATTTTGTTATCCCAGGTAGCCGTGCGCCATATTTACGCGATTGATCCTTAAAAAGGCTTCCGTGATCAACTGGCAATTAGGGAATACCTAAAGGAAGTTGTAAGAGCATATTGCATAGGCGCAGCTTATAATTCTAATTATCTGGAATCTGAAAATAATTTTCCGATAAAAAAAACACGGACATGTTCGAGGTCGACATTAGCGTCATTGTCTCCATCATGGCGAAATGGAGGGAAAGTTGAGGGTTTTGGAGGAGTTGGAGGAGGAGGAATTTTCAAAGAGAAACCAAAGCAAGACTGCTTGTGAGTGTACGAGAGATGAGGGAAATGAAAAGAGGAATGTTGACTTCAGCTTTTGCGAGGATGCACATCTGGATGCAGTGACGAACTGAAGGAGAGAGAGGGGGAGGAGGAGGAATGTCTTGCCTGGCGAAATTTCTGAATGACCCATTTACCTCCCTGGACAAGACAGGAAGTAATAAGGATAGCCGCAGGCTGCACAGGACCACCGTTTGGGGCCCCGGATATCACAGTGGTGCAATGTTAGAAATGCCCTCTTTGAGTGAGGATTTTTGTCACAATCACCGAC